TTTTTTTTTTTTTTTTTTTTTTTTGGGGGGGGGGGCGGCTACGACACAGAAACTGTACTAAACAATAGAAATATTTCAACCAGTTTTGTAAAACTATTTCCGTAGCAACGATGACCAGCTGTGAAGCTAAAAAGCAAACTTGCACAACTGAGTGTTGTCATAGCTGTTCCTCCTTAACGATTCCTGATCATTGGCCGGACCATGCACCTAATGCAAAGCAAACAAATTACGATGGTTGGCGCTGCTGCAGTTAAGCGTGCCAACTGTCACAAACACTTCCTCTACTGTCAAATTACCTTTTTCGCGTATACTCGGCACATCCTCTTTAATTCCAGACTTGTATAGATCACATCATTGTGACCTTCTGAGCGTATAATGCTAAAGTTCTGCTTTAAAATAAATGGCGCATTACAATATGCTCTCGCTAGCAGCACAGGAAGTAATGGATGGTGACTGACGTCCCGTGATTCATGACTTTGATTCCCATTCCCCTCAAGATTTAATTCTTCATCTCCTGCTAGTTTTTCTGCTAAAATAACAATGCTTTGTTCAACTGTCTTTATAATGCACTTTTTGGCAAAAAAGTGGGTAACGAAAATCTGACCAGTAATGGTTCTCCCGCCCGCCTTCAAACTAGTGTTTACTACTGCCATTTGAAGCAGCAGTTGAGAACGCTTCATAAAGGTAGATTAACAGTAAAAAAAAAAATTTTTGCAGACTAATTACGCGTAAATGCGACAGCGTGAACAAGCGACTATAGAAGAGACATAATTTTCACTGGAAAGGTAGAGGTTTTGTAAGTTATAATAATCGCACCTTTAACAGCTTAGAAAGCTGTTACTTAATAAAAAGCTTTCTTATGGATAACCGACTGTACCTGATTGGATAAAAAACAGAAAAAAGAATAACGCTAAGTACTGAAACTATCATTCTCTTTGAAAATCCGGTTTTTTAAGAAAAAAATAAAAGTTTGGGGAAGCTTGAGGGAGCGCCACCGGAGGGAACACGAATAAGGTTTTAAAATTAGAAGCGAATTCATTAACGACAATTGCAGTACCGGACCTTACCTGATTACAAAGCTTGGATGAAAACGTTTCATCATGACACCGCTAGCAAGAGCGAGTAAGCGGAAGTTTTTGCATGGAGTAAACCTTAAAACACTATCCGACAAGCACCGAGCGCTTATGGTTACGGAAAGACAAACTCGCGTTGAGAGCAAACTGATCTTCCTCGCTCCTCACTAATGACAGCACCAACAAATTAAGTGACCGGAGAAGCCTTCAAGCAAGCGGCAAGCGCGAAGAAAAAACACGATATTTACGATATACAAAAAAAAGACCTTCCCACAAAATGTGATATTCCACAGGAGGAGGGTCGAGCACCCGCTTATCCGAATTCACCAAAGAAAATGGTCAAGCTCTACTGTAAAAGGTGATGTTGCCCAGAGGTACTTTGATAACCTTCCACAATGACGGCTGTAGCCGGCTTTCGGTGGAGAAGTTGAGGGGGAGGCGGTGCAGCTGCAACCGGAGGGGGACAGAGGGTACGGGAACGCTGCAGACAGAATGAGGATAATAACAGCGGCACCGCCACTATCCTTCTTTTCTCTGTTGTCTTCCTCCAGGTACATAATGTCGCGACCACCCGACAATTCCTTAGACCAGGCATTATGTTTTTTTACCGTAGGCAACGATAGCCGCCGAAGTTTTAAACGCCAACCACATCAGAGTACGGCCTTACTATACTAGTGATAAACTTGATCTTATTGCACGTTTTTTAATGCTCCTGGCACTAAGTTATTTGTAAACGAGAACAACCGTATTAGTTATTGGTATTACTGTTATTATAATATCATTGATATAATAATAATAATAATAATAATAATAATAATAATAATGAATAATAATAATAATAATAATAATAATAATAATAATAATATAAATATGAATAATATTAATAACAATACTAATAATAATGGTAGTACTGTTAATAATAATAGCAATAATAACAATATTAACAATATTATTATTAATGATATTAATAACTATAATAATAATAATTATTATTATTGGTTATTATTAGTAGTAGTAC